TAGGCTGTTTGCAATTCCACCAAACTCTGCTACATCTGAAAGAATCTGGTCTCTTTTTGGTAATATTCATACAGAACAACGTAACAGACTGAAGCCAGAACATGTTGCAAAGTTGGCAAAAATAGGATGGTATATAAATCAAACTAATAAAAACAAACAAAAACAAGATTCCAAAAAAAAATTTGATGAGCCAATAGTAATGGATGATTGTAATAATGATATACAGGAAAGCATAGATGAAGATCAAATTGTAAATGAATTGTATAATGAATTTCAAAATGATTCTACATTTTTAATTGATGATGTATATACTGTAGATAATGGAGAAGATGAGGTTCCCAAGTTAACAGAAATTTTTAATTTTGAGTTAGTTGAGAAATCATTAAAAGATGGTATCCAAACAATTATAGGACCAATGTATTAATTTTATTGAATTATTAATTTTGATGTATTTTAATCAATTTTAAAATTTTTGATTGAATTATGTAATTAATAATTATTGGTTTTTTGTATATATAAGTAAATCAATTAGTATTATTTTTTATATATATATTAATAATTTTTGTTGCCCATAAAGATCTGCAAGTTTGTGTTTTTTAACAGTTAATAAGTCACTAATAGAGTTATTAAGTACTTGATAACTTGGTCATTTATCAAAATAATTTCTACGCCCATCACTAGGTACTTGTATAAAATATCTATTTTGTCCAAATTAGATTTTTCAAGAATGACTTTATAATAATTCTACTATACATGCAGCCTAAAGTATTTTGACTTATGTTTTTTATAGTGTACTTTTTGATTTTTGACATCAACAAAGCATTTTGAGCTGCATATATATAGTCTCTACTTTTGAAATTTGTAGTGGTAAATATTTTTGGAAATACTTGATTCTTCCTATCATTGTGATACATATAATAATATTTATTAATAATCATATTAGTATATGATACTGTTGTATGTGAAATTGAAATCGAAATTTATAATTAAAATTTTGGGGTGGATGTTTGGATATGAAATTCTGATTGGCTAATTTGAATTTCACAGATTTCATTTTCACACAAACATTTACTTTAATAAAATACGTCTCAAGGTTTTTCCACTCCTTTTTTTGTAAAAAGTGCTCTTAATTGATTAAATTATTATATTCAGGTAGAAATATTATATATTAATATAGCATAATGAGCGGAAAATATCACATCATTGGTAATACAATTGTGTTAAACAATATTGAACCTGAAATTTGTGGTAATATCAATGTTCACTTTGTCTAGTTTTGTTGCAGCATGCCCCAAATGTGTGGTGTCCTTCTTCAATTATTGTTATTGTAAAAATTTCGAAAGATAGCACCACCTTTTTATGGTAAATAGATTGTTTGTTTATAACCTTTTTTTTTTGTCACGGCTTTATAATTTGCCAAAAAAGGATTTATTGTTTTACGAAATTGATCGCGTTGTATAAACAAGTAGAAAAAACATGTGATGGTTGATCACATGAAACTGCTTTATGTAACACTGTCCTGTATTTTTTATCAGTCATTCCAAAAAAAATTTCATCCCTCTTCATATATATTTGTAATATTTGTAATAAATTATTAATAATGTCTGTAATTTCAAAAAATACAGAGACTCCAAAAAACGAATTTTGTGTTGGTGAAGAAACTATAATTTTGAATGTTGGTGGTATCAAGGTAGTATTATAACTTTCACACAAAAAAAACAAGAGTTAGAAATACACGTATTTAAAAAAATAAAATAAAACATTTGTAATGTGATAATTTACTGTTATTATTTTTTTTTAGTATGAAACATATACATCAACACTTACAGCATATCCATACACACTTCTTGGTGTAATGTTTAGTCAACGAAATCAATCAATGCTACATCCCAAAAATGGTAATGAATATTTTTTTGATCGGAATGGTCATGCATTTCGTTATATATTGGAATACCATCGCACTGGAAAATTATTATATAGCTTTAATAAAGATAACAAACAACAACAATGTCAAGGATATCAAATGATTAGCGGTTGCCCCGATTATCATTATCATTATCATCATCAAAATGATTTAAATGGTCATGGTCATTATCATCATTGTTGCAACAAATATAAGCATGTTGATGGTGATTTCAATGCAATTGTAACTAAAGAAGAATTAATAGAAGAATTATTATATTTTCAAATTCCTTTTAACAACAATGACAGTGATGACAAGAATAACCACAATTGTGATAATATTATCAATATCGATGATAATCATGCAATTGCAAATGCACAATTAGGTGCACAAAAATTGGATTCATTCATTATTGCAATGATCAACATGATTAATGAGATGAAGGCATCATTTATGCAATCAGTTGAATTAAAATTCCCTCGTCATTGTAATAGTATTGATTCTTCTGACAAATCTTTAAGATTAAGTAATGAAAACCTGTATCATCCAGTAAGATTTATGCAACCTTATTGTTTTGTTGGTTATGTGTTATTGAAAAATTTCGAAACAGATATTTACAGATATATTACTTCAAAAGTTAATGGATTTCATTGGGAGGTTGAAAGAATTGCTGGAACAGTTAGAAATAAACATTTGAAAGTTACCATTAAAATTGATATTAATGTTAAGAAAAGGGATGTACTTGCAAATTCTTCACTTGGTTTATTTAACTTAATGAGAGAGGGAGAGAGATCATAGAATTATAGATGAGAGAATGGGAGTAGATAAATAAGTTAATTTTCAAATTTATGGATGAACGAATGAATTAAATTTGCTGGAATGGGTAGATGTACATAAATATATAATTAAATCATCAGGTATGTTGATGATTTTCATTAGAAAAATAGATTTTTTAGAAATTACATTTCTTTAGATAGTTACATTTTCCCCCTCTTACATCAATTATATATATATGTATAATATAATTGTTGTCAAGTGGTTTTTTATTTTATTTTATTATTGATAGTATCACTTTTGTAACTTTATAATTTTATTGCAATAAAAAAATTGTTAAGTTATAAAAAATGTGGCCAATACAGTGTTCACAAGGTATAAACATCAGGAAAATGAAATTTTTTTCCGCAACAGGCACAATTTGTGCATGTTAATATCAAAAATTGAGGCAAAGTGTACAATTGTAAACTTATTGTCCGCATAGCATTTATTCTGAGCTTAATGTAGAGATTTAACAATTTAACACATAATTTGCGCACACATTTCAGATGAATATTGGTAGAAATGTTTATGCCATACAACCTGATGTAACATCTTCAGAAGAATGTTTTTTTTTTTTTAAGTTACTTTTTAAGATTTAGAAAACAGTGATCTGACTTATAAAGACGGAAGAGTTTAGGTTTATTCTTAGCCATCTCTATTAAGGGTTGTCTATATACTACATAATAGATTTTTGCAAAGAAATTTGGTTCAAGACAAACATAATTTTAGCAAAAGGTAATTATCATAGTTTAATTTCAGTAATACTTTTTGATCCATTGTTGTTTCATGTTCGTTTACTTGACAAATGTCCAAGGTGAAAAGATAACATAATTATTTAATTATACTGATAAACAGAATGAATGTGTACACTACATGGACAAAAGGCTAACCCACGTTTAAAAATTATTAGCACAAAAACGTACATAATAATAATAATTAAATAAAAAACTGTCATTTCGTATCTTAGGTTCACCAAATTATATGTGCAGAATTTCACATCTCTAACATTTTCACTAAACCAATGATTAAAAAAAAAAAAATTCCGACCAAAAATTATTGACGAAACATTGCTCATTTCAAAAAAAATTTGATTGTTCAAAATGCATATAATGATCTCATCTGAAATTTTGACATGTGATAATAGACATCTTGATTAAACATCTGTGTTGATTTGATTTTTTTTGCAACGAGGTTTGGTCGGAATTTTATTTTTTTAATAATTTGGATACGAAATGGCAGTTTTTATTTAATTATTATTATGTACGTTTTTGTGTGCTAATAATTTTTAAACGCGTGCTAGCCTTTTGTCCATGTATTGTATGTCCAATGACAATTATACAGTTATTATTGTTATTCAAATGGCGAGCAGTCAGCTAAATTAACATTATTACAGGGGGTATTTACATAGAAATTAATATTTCATATATACAGTCAATCTTTCCATAAGTGCAACCCCCTGGCAAGGCTGTGCATTCATGGAGGAGGAGTGCAAGTATTTTTGCTGGTTGCACATGACATCAATAAAAAATATAAGATTCAAACTAAGTCAAATTCTTTAAGAGTCAGCTCAAATTCAGGATTAGTTGTAGGTTTATTACCTTTATTTCTTTACTTTTTTGTAGAATTCTGGTTATTGTTGATTCATGAACTGTAGCCCCATTTTTGGTCAATGCCTGAATAGAACTGTCTGCAACGTTAGAGAATTTGTCTGAGAACAGAGGTTGTATAGTGTAAGTGCTGTCCAAAGAATTATCACCAATAAAATCGATACTCTTTTTGGTTAATTTATTATTTTCAGCAAATAAAATGGCCTGAATACACTAACAATGTAGAGAGATTTTCAATACAAACTAGTAAACTTCAGAGTACCGAATAATAATAAGACATATTTATCACATTTTATTTCAGGATTTATAATAGATTAATCTTATTTCAATTTTTATTTCCAATTGATCCTCTTTCTTCTATTGAATATTTAGTTCTGGCAAGTTGTAAATATGTATGCCACTACTATAAGTAGTGGTTGTAGTAGCCATATATTTATTGTTAGTCTTGGAGTAACAATATACTTGTAATTAGATATTATTATATATATTTTTTATGTGCAATCAGACCTGGATTTATTGAAAAAGTATTCAAATATAAGTCATGTGATAAATGATCCTATACCATTACACGTTCTGTCTAACGTGACACATTTTGATGTTGATCATTAAAAAATAACTTCATATTAATATTTCAAAAATTTTTTTCGTAAACGAAATCTTTTGATTGAGAGAGAAAATAAAAGATAAATATAAATATTTAAATATTATGGAAATACCAACTTTACCACGTGAAGAGGTTATTGCATTAATTATCAGGTGGGTTTTTATAAATGCACAGTAATAGTGATAGTAATAGCAATAGTAATAGTAATAGTAATGGTAATGATGATAGCAATGGTAATGGTGATAGCAATGGTATGGTGATAGCAGTGATAATGGTAATAATAGTAATAAAGTTATTATTTAAATTTCATTTTCATGTATAAAAAAGAAAATTTTAATAAAAATAATTTTTTATTTTATTTTTTTGTGTGCGATGAAATGGATCAGTTTGATGAAGTATTTTATTTTAATTTGAATTGATTGATTCTATAATATTAATTTATAATACATAATGTTTAATATATAATTTTAATATATAACATTTAATATATAATGTTTAATGATAATATATAGTCAATTATGTGAATATGGCTATACACAATTAGCAGAAATTATAGCAGAACAAACAGATAATCAAACTAGCTTAACACCTAGTTCCAAATTGTCAGAATTACTTTACATTGCAAAAGAGCAGGGTAAGTAAGTATGTAATAATAACAACACATGATATATTGTAAAATCCACATTAATAATTTCTTTTTTTTTTTTTTTTAGATGAAGGTGGTGATGAGGAAATGAGGCCATGTGAAATGTTAATTGATGATGATGTTGATGATAATGATAATGATAATGATGGAGTCTATGTTGCTGCTGCTTCCGCTGATGATGATGATGATGTTAATAATAATAATAATAATAATGGAGTTTTACCACATTCAAAATATCTAACATTTATTGATCCAGAAACCAAAAATAGTAATAACTGATTAATTAGTTAATTAATAATGTTATATTTCATGGAAGTAATTGGGTTATTTTTTCTTTAGCACCAAGACCTGCACCTAATTATTCAACTTGGTACATGACTACTCATAGAGCTGCTTCTATATGTGCTATCTTTAGTGGTGATGGTATGTATGTAATTAATTCACTTATTTATTCATTTGCTCAATTTATTTATCCATAACCATATTTTTATATTATCAGGAAAATATGCAGCAACTGGGTCTGCTGATGCTTCACTTAAAGTTTTGGACACAAGCAAAATGAATAGCCGTTCTGATGAGGACAGACCTGTCATACGAACATTATATGATCATCTTGCTGTAAATATTTGCTTAATTTTCAATATGATGATTGTTTTGATTATCTTTTTGATCTTATTTCTTTTGAACTTGCAATTTGTTTTTATTATAGCCTGTTAATGATTTATCTTTTCATCCAAATGGATTGGTACTTGCTTCTTGTTCTGATGACAAAAGTATAAAGTTGTTTGATTTGTCTAAACAAGGAGTTAAACGTTCTTTTAGATATTTACAGGTTTGTTATTTATGATTTATTATAATTATAATTACAATTATTTATTTATTTTTATTTTTATTTTTATTTTTATTTTTATTTTTAGGACACACATGTTGTAAGATCCATTGTATTTCATCCTTCAGGAGATTTTATATTAGCAGGTTTTTTTTTAATATTGGTGAAGACTTTTTAATTTACAAGAACTATTATTAAATAAATTATAAATATATTCATATATTCATATGTATAATATATATTTATTATATGATAACAATAATAATAGGAACAGATCATGAATCTGTAAGAGCTTATGATGTAAAAAATTTTCAATGTTTTACAGCATCTACTTCACCTTCTGATCTTCATAAAAGTGGGATTACAAAGGCAAATAAATGATTTTCTAAACTATTATATATTTAATATATTATGTTGACTTTTTTTTTCTTTATTTTATCTTCCAATATGTATATAGATCAGATTTTCTTCAAATGGGTCTCAATTTGTCACATCATCACTTGATGGAAGTATAAAAATATGGGACACAATTAATGGAGGTTGTATAAAAACCATTGAAAATGCTCATGATGGTGCACCTGTGTCAAGTGTAAAATTCTCTAAAACTGGAAAATACATACTTTCTGGTGGAAAAGATTCGACTGCTAGATTATGGGAAGCTGATAGTGGAAAATTGATTTTGAAATATGAAGGTGTTGTTCACAAGGTAATGAATTGTTTATTCTAAGTGATCTAAATGGTTGCTAATATAACAACAAATCTTGTTCTTTTAGAATCAATCCTTACAGACAACATTTACTTATAATGAAGATTATGTTCTTAGTAGTGATGAATTAAACAATACAATCATTTGTTGGGATTCACGTACAGGTCTTTTACTTAAAAAATGGGGAGGTGAAATATACAAATCTAAATATTGGTATATTTATGATATGGGAACAAGAAAAAATTAAACCAAAGTTTTCTTTAATAGGACATACAAATATTATACGATGTATTGCAGCTTCACCAACTGAACCTGGATTTATTAGTTGCAGGTAAAAAAATTTAATTTCAATTGGGTTGTTTGATTTATTTTGGTTTTTTTTAACATTTTGTTTTAAACAAATATTATTATTATTCCAAAAGTGATGATTTTCGTGTCAGGTAATTATTAATTTAAAAAAAATATAGGAAAAATAATTTATATATTAATATTTTTTTGTAAATACAAAATTATAGATATTGGAATTTAGATTGATTTTTTAATGCTTTTGCTTCTCTTTAACTAACTTACATTAATGATCTATTATTATTATGTAATAATAATAAAAAATCATAAATACTTGCTTTGTGATAAAAAGAAATTCAAAAATTATTATTATTAAAATTTTGGGAAATTCCTACAAGGGTAAGTTCAACTTGCCAAAATATTGGTGGTTTTGAAAATTACGTCAGATAAAGTGGATAGGAAAATTGCAGTGGTCTAAATTAATTGATATCCTTCATAACAACCACCTTGTCCTTGACTTTGCTGTTCAGGTTTTATTCAATTGGCTTTTATTTGCTTTAGCTAGGCTTGCATTCTGTTTGACCTTTTATTCAGTTAATTCTTGGATAATGTTTGTTGTTTGTCTATTTCAGTTTCTTGTGCTCTAATTTTTAATTTTTGCTTTTAGTTTCTGTATAGTATTTTCATTTTTTTTTTCATTTAAATGTTCTATCATCTAATTGTTGTTTTGCTTGCTTTTCTCTTTTTGCACAATCATCTTCTAAATCTTTATTTCTTATCCTTTTATATCCTTATCCTGTTGATTTACTAATTTTTGCTTCTGCTGTATCTTATTGTTTTTATTATATATGTCTTGTTGTCCTGTTTTTCATTGCTAGTTTCTTTTGACTACTGGCTAAATTTTTGATATTTGGCTTGTTGCTGATATTTAATTCTAGTTTTTGACTTGGCTCATTTTTTATTTTGTTCGATAATTTATTATTGATCTTTTGCAATTTATCAATCAAGATTACCTTTCTTTAAGATGGATATTTCTTACCTACCCTTTCAATAAAATCTAAATGAGTTTGGACTTACATTCCAATCCTTGAACTTTGCATTACTTAAATTGACTATGATTCTTGAAGCCTCTATATCCCTCTTAATAACTAGCTCCAGAAATAATTGTTCTCTCCAATAATTCAAACATGTTTTTTTTTCACAAGGCTTCCATATCCTTGTTTATTCATCTTCTAAATTCCATATTCTTCTATATCATCATCATCAATTTCTTTTCTATTTCATTAATAAAATCTCTTTTTTCTTATCATAATCTTTCTTTTTTTCTGGGACAGTTAAATTCATAATTTCAGATGTGGATGTAAAAAGCCTTTTTTTTATTGTGTAATTGCTGATCTATTCTTATTTTTTATTGTTAATGTTATTGTTGTTGGTTTATATAGAGCTATTCCTATATAAAAATATGAAACCAAAATTAATTTACATCAAAGCCAAAGAACTACACCTACCATTTGGAGTATTCTCAAGGGGAAGCCCACTGAAACTACAAACGAAAAATGATCAAAATAAACAAAATAAGAACAAAAATCATTATAAATTTTACTTTCTCACATTAGGTAAAAAGGAACGTGCAAGTTCATTCATCCCTCTATGTCATATTGCATCATACATAATCTATCCATGGTCATAACACTAGTAAAAATACCTTTGCATTCAGCCAAGTCTGTGACATGTGAATCAACAACTTCAATGTTTTGTTGAATCGCCATATCATTTATTTCAAATGATTTCTCAAGCTAAATTATATATATATAAACATTAGATTTAATTATTAGTTAGAAATCAATTAGAACAAAATAAAAAAAAAAAACCACAAACCTTATTTTGTTCACTGGTTAACATTTTAATTGTTTCACCAAAAACTGAAGTTTCTTAATGTAATTGTTGTAAAGATTTCAAAACAATTAATCAAAACTGGTGCAATTGACATAAGAGGATCTACTTTGTCCAAAAGTGTAAAAGATAGTCTATCTTTACATGCATATATATATAAAATTAGAAATATAAATGTTAGAATAATTTAATTTGTAAACTTGTTAATAATTAATCAATGAAAGATTATAACTAACATTAATAAAATGGGCAGGCAGGAATCTTCTCTTCAGTCTCAAATCACCATTTAAAAGTTATTTATTCTTCAATTCATTAACTTTCTCCATTCACCAGCCAAAGCATTAGCTTTATTAGCTTTCCTGGAAATATATCCTAAATTACATGTTGTACCAATATTTGCATATGTTGATCAAGTTTATCAATGGCAGTGATTAAATTGGTATTTGTTATAAAGATTGACTATATTATATTAATAGATGATTATTATTATTATTAAATGAATGAATGAATGAATTCATAATTTGGCAATAAATAAAAAAATTCATTTAGCTAATTAAGAACATACAAGATTCACAAAATTTGTCTGTGAGATGTACCAACAAGTTTTTCTAAAGCAGAAATACATCCATCAAGTTCAACTGTCTTGGCTAAAATGTGAATTTTTGCAGTTTCAGGTATATAATATAACTCATTCATAACCATCTAATTTATTCATAACAACAATTAGTAAATTAATAAATCAATAAATTAATAATATTATTATTATCATCAATCAAATAAAATATCATTTTTTGCAATTGCATTATCTGAGTCATGACCATTAGTTTCAATCACAGTTGATGTGTCATAATCTTTCGAAATTCTATTTTCCCTGGGAACACCCAGGTGTTTAAAAGATTGTAATTGATTGATTGATCAACTAATTTTTCATTCATTTCGGCTTGTTTTATTATTGTTCCTTCCTTTTTGTCTATAGAATCTGGTTCACTTATATTTTGAGATAGTCGACTAAGATCTTTTTGCAAACTGGGTTGTTCAACAACAGCACTGTGAAGGGGTTTTTTAGGTTTTTATTGATCATCATCCTATTGACATATGTATATTTGTTAAAAAAGAATGATGATTAAGTGACTATGATTCACATAATCATATAATTAATTGCATTATTTATTTTGGTACCTTATCTTTTCCAATTCTTCACCAAGTTCTTGAGCTTCAAAAATTAATCTTCACAATTTTTGTACAGTAGATGTATTCATATTCATTTGTATCTAAAACAGGACATTTAACGTAAACTTTGTACATGTTTTTTTACAACAAGTTATACTATCAGGGAAATCTAAAAATATAAATAGCATAATATAATTAAAATCATATAATCAATGAAATAGTGATGTATATTTTTTTTATAGTTATATTCATATGTATATACCAGTTTCAGAAGCATTGATGATACTGCCCTTAAACTTATCAACAGCTTCACATACAGAAATTTTTTCTTAACTATATCTTCATTCGGTTCTTTTAAATAAAAAAGATACTCTAAAATTTTGAAAAACCTTCTTCTTATTTTAAAACAATTATAATAATAATAACAAAATTATTTACCCCCATTGTCTACAGCATCACTTTCTTCAGGTGTATCTAGAGATTCATAAACGTCTGGTTGGGTCTCCTAAATATCAGTTTAAGCTGTTTCTATTATAATAAAATTTTGTTCAACAAGTGAGAACTTACAATGTCAGGAAGATTACTATATTTACTTGATAATTGAGACATTTTTTTAACACTTTAATTGATTAATAAACAGAGCAGGAAAGCCAACAGATAAAGGCTTAATATTAAAAAAAAAATGCAAGGTCAAACAATAAAATGTGTGGTATTTTGAACATTAATCATTTTTCATAGTTTAAATTAAAATAAATCAGATATATATATCAGATATGGAAAAAAAAAATGAATAATTTTTAATATTAAAGTTGCATCTACAAATAATTTTACTAACATTTTATTATTAAAAAATAAATGAATAAGAAGGGAACACCTTAAGAGTAAGCCTCGTTGTGTTATGAACTCTTCTTCTTAATATGTTTCAAATAAAAAGAAAGAAATCACAATCGCATAACTGTGCTATGACCAACAAAACCAAATTCGTGATCAACCAAAGTCTCAAAATAAAAGAAAAAAAATCCAATGAGCTGAGAACAACTCATCTAATCCTTTTCTTTCTTTCTCTTTGACATAAGGAAGATTAAACGGATGGTTTATACCATATTATAGGTGACACTTTCTGTCATGTGTCCGAGGACTTTCCCCAAAGCAATTGAAATAATTTTAATGTGAGCTAATATATATATATATATATATATATATTGCTCTGCATGTAGTGCTTTGATAGCGATTCTTTAAAATGTTCCCTCCAAGAAAATAAAAATAGTCATACAATTGGATGGAGTTTTGTAACATCACTTATTACAAATATGGTGCGGATCATCTAGACAGGCCAATCTTTAAAATGCTAATAACTCTATATATTTGGATGTGGAGAAAAAATACTAAAAAAAAAGCCTTAGGGTTTGAAATTACATTTTATTACCCTAAAGATTGTGGTCATGTTTAAATTCATTCCATCCTCAGAAAAACAATTCAATCTTTCATATATTAATAATAGCATTAAGATAACAATTTATCAAATGCTTGTTTATGTTTGCCCCATTGCTCCTAAAAAGCACCCAACAATCCCTATTATAAGGGTAATACTTTTAAGGTAAAATATGTCATATGTAACATCCATGTTGTTAATTTTAAATGATAAAAAGAATCAGCTGCAATGTATATATATTGCGAGCATGCAATCTGAGTTTCCTAATTAATAAGTTATTTAATGCTCAACACACAGCCTACCCGCTGACTTACAGTTGATTCTATTGTTTGACACACAGCCTACCCACCGACTTATGGTCAAGTTTCCTTTGTTTATATATATGACGCACAGCCTACCCACTGACTTATGGTCATTACCTTTATGTGACACACAGCCTACCCACTGACTTACGGTTACTAGGTTCTATTTAAATAATTATATCCCAAAGGCGTCCCCTTGAGATGTATCTGAATAATTAAAAGGGTTCCCAACTAATAATTAAAGGTTGGCCAGACCATTAACCATTAGAAGGGCTGGGGAGGTCAATCACACTGGGTTTATTAGTTGCTTACAGTCAAAGACTATTTTATGTAAGGTTATATATTTATTAATAGTTGTTATTATGTTGTTATCAAGGTTGTTATCAACAATATTAACAATTGATTAATTAATGATGATTATTAACTTGATCTAAAGTAGAGGTTGCAAAAATTCTTTAACCGGTTAACCGGATCAGCATCCATCCATACATTTATAAGCTAGTTAGTTCATTATAAATTTTGGTGTGATAATTGAAAAACCTTCACATATCTCTAACTAAAGAATTTGATATGCTAATTGTTTTCAAGGATGAAAATCTGTATGTGTTGAGTATTGTGAATGTTGCCTAAGATGAGTTGACACTTTGAAAAAGAAATTAAACAATGAATGATAAAAAATCAATAGATTTAATTAAAATAAAGAAAACTTCAAAAGATAATGTGTAATGAACTCGTATTTATCAAGATGATACTGTTATTATATATATAGTTTTTCATTAATGCTAAGAAGAAAAAGTTGGAGTTTTAGGTAGATGCAGATAAATTTACTTGATTTTTTTTTCATATTATACGAATTGATTCGATAACAGTACCGTAAAGGATCTTTCTTGAACACATTAATATCCTTAAATGCTTACCAGAAGTATCCCGAGTTATTGCCATTTGTAATTTCGAACAACTTGATCTGATGGTGAGTCTACCTACAACTATGGCTCTTATAGCCGAGAGAGCAGGTATATGGAAATCGTTAAAGGAACTTGTGGATGATCTTATTGATTAATGAAGCTTTAGAACTAAAGCTGGTGGTCAAAATTTACATTGTGGTTTAGATATTACAGTTGATAGAAATTATTTTGGGAGTCAGATAAGTTATTTTATTATTATTATTATTACTATTAATAATCTTCATATAACCTAATCTAATTGCTTTTTTTTAAAAATTCACTAATTTGTGGATATAAATTTCAAATCCATCTCTCATCCATTCCCAGCACTTTTTATAGCAGTGAAACAAAGTCATACAATAGTCATTGCATTTCATCTAGAGCTGATCAATCCCATGATTATCGTATTCATAAATATCTCAATCATCATCTTCACTAAAAAAGAACAATAACATAATAATATATAGATTTATATATAGTTATTTGAAATATAAAAGGTTACATGATAATAGTTGATTTTCATAATCTTATTCAATTTTGATGAAAATAATAATAATAAATTTCTTCAATAGATAAATGTCTTAATTTTAATATAATAATAATGATTTGCGTAATTATGAGATAAAAACTTTCTTTATTTCACTTAGATTGAAAACAACTCCCGTACGAGGACATGTAATTTTGCCATTGTTTTTAGAAGCCATCTCCGTTAATGCCTTTTTTGGTATGATAATGTTAGAATATTCAGAAAAAAAATAGACATTTCTAATATAAACTGTTAAATTAATAAACGGTGATTATCCATACCTTTAGTGAATAAACGTATCCATTTGGAAGAGTCATCGGAGGATTATTTTCATCCATTATTTCACCACTTAATCGACAAACAATTGTAGAATTCACATGATGACTTAATGGAAGACTTTGTGCTAAAGGACCTAATGTTTCCGGTGTGCACACAGGACAATTTATGTTTCTGTTTTCTGTTTGATAACACATGGGAGTTTTAAGTGCTGATAATCCTGCTTGAAGGGTTACATTCAAAAGAGGTTGGGATGTAAGAGAATTCAAAGCAAAATTATCAGCACGAAATTGAGTTATGAGCGCGTCCCAACGCGATTCATCATACAATTTCTATATATATATATATATATTGTTATTAAAAAATTTAGGAATGATTAATTAATTAAAAAAAATTTTTGGAATATATTTAAACAGACCTTATAAGGTGGACAAAAAGTTGATGAGGGAAATGCGAGTAAACACATTGCTTGCTGAATTTCTTTTATATGCATATCTGACCATGCAGTGAGATACTTGCGTGAATATGCAATAGCATCAGATTTTTTATTTGCTCGGACTAATTCTATAAACTCTTGTAATCGAAGATTAAATTCAAGAGTGCTCTTAAAACAAACAAATCATTATTTTTATTGATTTGTTAGGTTTACTACGAAGACTGTAGTTAAAATCAATCTTATTTTTATTATTTAAAAATTAGTTTCAAAATACCTGCATTTTACGCAAGTTCGTTTTGTTTAAATTACACCAAGCAAGTGCTTCGGTACAACTATATTGTTGTAATGCTTGTTCAACACGACGTGTCTGGGTGAATAATTCAATATCAACAAAAGGCTAAACATAATAATTGATTGATGTGTATGGCATTAGTACATCGATTATGAATGTCTGTTACAAAATAAAACTTTTCAAATACAAACCTCTATTGATTCATCTTTAGCTAATTGACCTGCAGTTTTACTAAAACCCTCTCTCAACATATAGTCCACAAGTATTCTATCCAACCTTACTCTGCTCCATCTGGTGTAATCTTCTGAGCCAGGATTTGTAATTCTTGTCAATTCGTTCAAATGAGCAAGTCTTTGTTTACTTCTAGATAGATATATTGCTCCTTCAGCTTTTGAGTCATTAAGCTATTTGAAAAACAACCATTTTAAATATCAATCATAATGAAAAAGGAAGAAAAAAACCACTTACTTTACGTTTTAAAGTATTCAATCTTCCAACCATGTTTTCAATGGTATTCGCTGTTTCAAAGAAATTAACACCTTCTTTAGTAGATTTAACTGCCAAGTCATTAACAGTCTGTGTTACTCTGGATAATTCCTTTTCAATATCTTTTTGAGAAGTTCTTAAAGTTTTTTTTAGTTGTTCTAAAGGTACCTAATTTATATAAAAGGATTTTATTGGTAAGATACATATACATTTCGAAAAAATAACTTTGTAATTTGAGAGAGTGTACCTTAACAAAAGGTTGTTCCAATGTTAATAAACCGTCATGATTTAGCTTATTCATTATTAAATATTACTGTTTTGTAGAAAGGAGAAAAATGAAAGATTTATGATCAAATAATTTTTTATTTTTGTATCGAGTATCACGAAAATCATTTTCTAATTTAGAATTTTATAATATAAATAAACTTTTTTTTTTTTAATTAATTATAATTATAAAAAAACAAATTGCTTCTAGACAGGTGTGGATTAAATTAAAGTTATTTAAAGTCCCACGTATTAAGAAGCATATAATAATGATTTATATCTATTTATAAGTTAACCTTTAGTTTACACGCAGTGTTTTTTTTTTCACTTTTCAGAAAAATTGGATGACACTGACATGCTTAAAGGATTCATTTAAAAAATTAATATTTTTTTTAATCGTTTGAAAGAATTTGATAATTAGATCTTCGATATTCCTAGTTTTCAAGTGAAAATGAAAAAAGAGAATAAAGAAAATCAATATTTATTGTTATTTAAAAAAATTTTTAATAATAATAATTGAAACATTAACATTATTGAATCAGAAACGAGGAATCCCTGTAAAATTTTACGGTTTTGTCGACATTTATATGCATATTCAGACAAAGTATCAAATGCGCAAATTTCATCATAAAGTACAAAAAATAATTGATTAATTTAACATGTTTATATTTACCAATATTTTCCCAAATTAATCTAAAATGATAGATAATAAAATAAAAAATTTTATTAAACGTATAATAACAATAACAATATAACAACAACAATGTCATCAGTTCATTACCATTTTTTTCTTTATCCTTTTTCTATGTAAGAGATAATTTTTTAGCTGACTTTATTTTTGCTTCTTTCGTCTAAGGATACCTGTCGCAATTAAAGAAATTGTTCGTAATTAGGTTACAACCATCATCAAAAGTTGCATCCGGTAACCTTGTTTTCGTCTAATTATTCGATAAATTTCATCAATGAGCTTTTTATTTTTTTAAACAACATATAAATATACACAAATATGTTTACATGTACAAACATACTGTTTACTAAGTCCAGGCTTTTTTTTTTACAAATTTTATAGCTGTTTGCCCTTGTCTTTCTTTTATGAAGCCCGTTAAATGTTCACTTAATTTTTTATAAAATAATAATAAAAATAAATGCGCTGTTTAATTCACGAAATATAATTGAAAAAAATTTTTTTTTCTTCCAAGATAGATAGATGACCATCTTACAGTGTCAATCACATTTACGTTTAGGTAACTCGTTTACTATTGGTTAATTAATTATAATTAATCGATCAAAAATGGGTTTTGTCATAAAAATGTCAACTATCGAAGGAATTAGAGAGCGTTTGAAAAATTCGAGGGAAAAGTTGAAGGAGGAGGGAAACGTGAGGAGGCCTAAAAACGGTTTTTATTAGAAGCACAAATATTGTTAAACATGGATTCCCATTTTATTATTTTTATTATTGTTTTCAATGGTAATTTTATAAAAAAATATCGAGTTTGCTAGAGTTTTCGAGCTTGAGCCGAGTTCGCGTAGTGCCTTTTTATGTTTGAGTCGAGCCGAATTCAAGCCAAGTATAAACTCGGCTCGACTCGGCATTATGCTGAAGATGTATATTGTAAAGAGGTTATGAAGTTTCAACATTTTCTTTTCGAAACATCTAATCCTGGTATAGTGAAAGCTCAAAAGGTTGTCAATGATCCTTTCATGAATTCAATTTATTTGAAAACTAAAAAGGGTTTCTAGGGCTGTAAAAGATATTAAAAACTTCAACCTACTCGAGCATCAGGAATGCCATTACAATAACATTTGACCTTTTGTCAGAGATGAGTTTAAGTATATCATTGTCAAAACCAGATAATGTTAACATTCAAAGGGCTGCAAATTATTTCTCTTCTACTTGTTTTTCATGATAAACTTTCTTTCTTCTTCCAAATATTCTTGATCATTTATCTTGAAAACATGAGGTGTAATTTTTTCATCTTGTTCTTTTTTTAAAATACTTCTGATAGCGCCGTAATTTTTGGGTTCCATGGTAGGTCTGATGTAAATTTATATTTTATATAGAGTCAATCCTATATTAATATGTTGTTTAAGAAAGATTTCCATCTTCAAACAAACTTGCATAAATTGTTATTAATACTTTCTTATCTCTATCTATTTAAATCTAAAATTGTAACATGAACGAACAATTATCGTGCTAAAGATAAAAAAGACTTACCTTGTACTTTTTGTCATATAGATAGATAACCAAGCTGGCACTTTTATTATGGAATACAACAAACATATTGCACTTGCAAATAAATAAAAACATGAATGGATATAAAGAAATAAATCTTGTGACTTTTCTATAAGTTTAACTCTGAAACGGAAATATATTGCACTTATAAATCGTACTCGCAATCCCAAAGCTGATTCATTGATAGCTACTAAACTCATTGAAAGGACGCATATGAAACAACTCAGGATGAATGAAGGAGCCTTCTACCGATCATTAAAAAAAGCTATCAGTAAGATTTGCCAGGTTTACCAGCCCAACGATTTTAATCTTGTGTTTATTGCCGGTGATGAGAGTCTAAGGCATCTTCATTTACATGTTATTCTTTAAATATAAGGAAAATTGTGGACATTGCTGAATGAAAAGAGAAGAATTTGCTCCTAAAATAGAACGATATAATGAAGCTCGAAAAACTCTCCATGCAAATGACCAAGGAGTAGTTCCAGAAAATGGCAAGTGTGTTGCCAGATTGAGCAGTCAAGAAGAAGCTTTGTCCAAAGCTCACCTGGTTATCAAGCCAAAGAAATCAATTACTAATCTCAGTCAAGTCGATTCTGAGACATGAGATTTACTACCTTATATTAATGAATTAAGAGAGGCGGTGATGGTGGTGATGATGATGGTGGTGATGATGGTCATGGTCATGGTCATAGTCGTGTGTTTATTTTTCAAGAAGATAATGCACCATGTCATAAAGCAGCTGTGGCAAATCAATGGAAAGAGGAAAATCGTGTTATACTTCTCCCTTGGCCTGCTCAAAGTCCAGACCTCAATCCTATTGAAAATTTATGGCAGGATTTAAAAAGAAGACTTAGAATGAGAAACCCAAAACCAAAAAATAAAATAGAACTATTCAATTTATTAAAAGAGGAATGGTTTAATACTATTCCAGTGAGAATTAATAGATTAATAGATAGTATGCCACAAAGAGTGGATGCTGTTTTAAAAAATAAAGGAAACCCGACAAGATATTGATTTTTTTTTAATAAAATACAATCAATTTAAAACAGTTTCATATATTTTTTGATGTCTTTTATGTTTCAAATTGGTGAGCAGTTTGAGGTTGAATCATTTTGTAAAATTTTCTACATTTTATTTTTTTTCTCATTAATTATTTTACCAAATGATCTAGAATTTTGGATATAACTAGATTCAAATATAAGACACTTTTTTCACTTATACCGCAAAGGTTGTTAGAACTTGACATTGTGGTCAATTTTCGAGTTAAAGATTTTTTTTGAAAATTCCAAAAAATACATTTTTATTTTTTAAAGTTTGTAAAACAACAAGTTGTTGTTTATATGCAGGTATGTTATACTATTTGATATGGTGATGAATTTTTACTTATAAGCAAATACGGTTAGGTTAATAAAATTTTTATTTTTTTCATGTTTCTTTGTTCAATTATTTCTGATATCTGCAAGTGTCTTTATATATTTATGACCAGTGAATGTAGTTGAGCAGCATAATGGACATTCGTTTATCACATAGCAGTCAGTGCGCAAATTCTTTCTCTTTTTTTTAATTAGTGTGTGTAACATTTGCTTGAATGCCAAGAATTTCTTTTAACATTTATAACACATAAACTTCTTAATAGATTAAAAAAA